TAAAAAAGAAAATAACTATAAAATAGAACTCTATCAACAAATATTGGACACAAGAAGTATATTAAAATAAATTTAAATTAAGGGTTAATATAGGTTAGTTTTGAAATTAATCAAGTGTTATAAAATATCTGTAAAGACCCTAAAAAATAATTGAATTCTACAAAAGGATAATAAAATCTGATTGAGAACATTTAGGATAAAATATTACTTCTCCAAAAATTTCATCAAATCAAATAGATTTTTAACATTTATTTTCGATTGATAATATTGTACATTAAAATTTAAATTTGAGAGCTTATATAAAATTCTCAATAGTAAAAATTCATAACATTAAAATAATGGAAAAGTATCATAAAACTGTTTAGCATGAAATTGGATAGATTATGTTTTCAAAAGGCTTTATGCAATTTGGTTCAATAGCAAAAAAGAAAGGATAGTAAGAAAAGTAGTATAGGGAAGTCTACCATATGCCATAAAAAGTTCAAAATAGACTAAAATTCATTAAAATTGTTGCAAAAATTCTATAAAATATTAAGCATTATAAAAATTCGTTATTTTTCTAAATTATTTACAAAAAGCATGACATTTGATATAACATGAAAAAATCAATTGGATATTCTGACTTAGTAATTTTTATTAAAGTTTAAGTTTACTGTAAATTAGGGAAAATGAAATATGTCAATATTGAAAAGTTTAGTTTTATTAGATGTCCAAGAATTTTATTACATTTTGAAACAGCTTACTAACTAAAATATGTTTAATTTCTCATTTTTGTTCATCTTTAAATTGATTGAGATAATAGTGTAGAAGATGCACCTGAATATTTTTTCCTAAGTTTCTTTTACAAAGAGATATTTACTTAATTTCAAAAGGTCTATTTGATTTTAATTTTCTTTAATAGACTATAAATACCTATCACAAATAGAGTACCATTTTTAATTGTTATTTAGATTCAACAACACTTCATTTAAAAGATTTCAAATTTCAATTGTTCATAATCATACATAAAAGCAAGTCAAAATCAACTTATTTTAATGTTCTTATTTAAAAAAAACAAAAATCCGTTCCTCTTATATGATATCACCTTATACTTTGACTACTTTTAGCAATTAGGATTAGATTCTTTTTATCAATTTAAAGTTCAATATATGTGACCTTTCAAAATCTTTCATATTAATAAAGCCAATTATAATCTGTTATAATTTCAACCATTTTACGAAATCTACTACATCCTTTGAATTGGAAAATTTTAACAATTTTCCCAACTGCCTAACTATTTTATTTCCAAACAAAATTTAGATTTAGTAGTAATGCAATTTCGATAAACATCACACTTAAGAAAACTAAATTGATTATAAAATATTAGATAGACCTCTGAAGTTACTGTAATTTTGTTAACTTACAAATTCCTGTATAGGATAGTTTTAAATGCCAGCCTTTTTAAAATATGTGCCGTTTTTAATATCCCTTGAACTTAAGTTGTTTAAATCTTTTCTAATAATAATATAAACATAAAAATTAATTAAATTTTCTCGCTTAAGTAAAATGAGTTTTAAGTCAAACTTTAAATATTAGATGAAACATTTCTAAGTAATAAAGGAAAAAATAGAATAGTAAGTTAGTTTGAAGATCAAAAATTTTAATTTTTGATGATTATATTTTTATAAGTTTTTGATTTAATTATAAATAAGCATTTACAAATAATTTCATAAATAAAAATTCACCTTTTTTTCAAATAATTTAAATTATTTTCTTGTTTTTTCTAATCAATAGTACTCTAAATTCTTTTCTGTCTAAATTAAGCATCAGTTTTATATTTTGTAGTCCTACTCTAATGAAAAGACAAAGTTTTTGTATGGAAAGGGCTAAATCCTTAAGAATCGCTTTCAAGAATTCCACTCTGTTTGTATCGAAATTCCTTTTGCCTAAAATAACTTGATTTATTTACTAAATTTTGTATAAATCTACAGTTTAGGTTTCTTTCTAAAGATCATTTTAAGTAGGTAAAGGTTTAAGTAAAAATTTAATTATTTTATTTCCGTTGCATTTATATGGGCTATTGCTACTACTATTTTTTGTATTTTGGTTTGAAGAACTATCCAATCTTTTTATTTGAACCTTTTAGTTTTTTTCAGGAGATTCTTTTTCAATTTTTTCCCCTGGAACCAAACTATGCAGGAATAATAAATCGCTATTACTATTGCCTTATCTTTCAATGCTTTTAATTATTAGAGGAGAAGCATTTGTAGAAGAATAGTCGCTCTACTTTGATTTCTAAATTTTTTATCTTATCTTTAAGAAGTTTAATAGATTTGATGTTTAATAGTATGGTGAATTGTCCTAATTATCATCACTTACATCAGTTTTGGTTAATTTTGATTAATTATTAGATAAAGTAAGATATCTTTACTCTGATATTCTTATATTGCTTTTTAAATGGATAATAATCATCAAACCCTTTATAACAAGGATCATCTTCTATGTTAAAAGCCAAAGGTCAAACATTTCAGTGAAATTTTATGGAATCATCTATCTTTTTTCATTTATCCAAGGATGAAGTAGAGCTTAATAAGCACTGTATCTTTTAGTGGAATCAAATTCAGTCATTCTTTGAAACAAAGATATCTATTAACTATATTACATCAATTAAGAATACCGATCCATGTTATGAAAGTTTTCCTCTGTATGCATATTTTACATATTTTTAATTAATTATTCTTGATTTAATCCATTATTAAAATATGGATGCTAACCCTTATTTAGCAATTGATAAAAAATAACTCCTACACTCCATACATCTACATTCTAATTTAATAACCTTCATACTTTATTATAAACTTTTTTTAATAATAACTCTGGAGCCATGTATGTTAAAGTTCCACATTTCTTCTGCATTAAAGCATATCGATTATGATGAGAACTCAATCCAAAATCAGTAATTTTAACAACATATACTTCTTGTCCTATTAGAATGTTATCAGGTTTTAAGTCTCTATGAACAAAGTGATTCTCATGAATGTAAGATAGGGCACTCAGAATTCCATAAATAATTTATTTTATTTCTTTAACTTCAAACCATGAATTTTATTTTTTCTTAAAATCCATTAATTTTTATAATGATCCTCCATTTATGATTTCCATTTCTATCAGAATTTTAGTATCTGTTCGTTTAATATCATAAAATTTGACTATATTTTAATGATTTAATTATGAAAATATAGCAGCTTCTTATTCAAGAGCCTCAAATCTTTTTATAGTTGATTTTGAGATAATCTAATTTATTATTTATTTAGCTACTTTTACTGCTACTTATGTTTTTGTGATATTATTGACTGCTTTTACAACTAAACCGAAAGCTCCTTGTCCTAAAGTGTCAACATATGTGTAATAATCACTAAATCTAGTTTAAAGATCATTTTAATTTAAAAATTCTTCCATCTCCTCTTTAAATAAATTATTATATATTTTATATTTATAAGATTTATTTCTAATATTTCATCTAATTGAGTAAATTCAAGAATGAAATAATATTTGCTTGTAAAAATATTGTAATATATATATATCTATTTTTTACTTGCTTATTATTCATTTTCATAATATCAATTTTTTTTTTTTGTACCTTTTTCATCTTTAATGATATTTTCTTAATAATCATCCTCTGTTAAAGTTCCAAATATAATTTTATCTTCAGGTGCTATTTGATGTATTTCTTTCTATAATTATTGTAACGAAACAGTTGCTGAACCTAAAAGTAATAATTTTAGTTACCTCTCGATTTTGGTTTAGCTTATGATTCGTGATACTTCCAAGCAGAAAAATAAATCTATTCAAAAGTACTATTAACCTTCATATTTTCATTCTTAAATAAGGATTCATAAATAGCACTAACGCTTTGGATTGTTTATTTAAAAGTACCTATCCTTTTTTAAATTAATGCTTCACCTTCTCCAATATCCTAAATATATTGCATTAAATGATAGATTGAATCAAACTCGTAAAGACTACAAAAGTTTCTTTAAACAATTACTTTCTTTCTGTGCATATTGTAGGCAGAGTGAATTTTAATCTTGTTAGCAAATTTCCCATTTCTGTAATTGAAATGAAGGGAGATACATGTTATGAAACTCCTCCGAATCGTTCGTTTTCAGCTAAAGAGTATGATATCCTCAATTCTTAGAGAGTATCAGAACCAAATATCGATCCAACCAATGTACCATCTGGTTCTAAGCTTTCTAGCCATTTTATTAGAACTACTTGCAAGTCATTAACCCAATGCAAATTCATATTTGATACTATTAGTTATAAATGACCATCTAAAAAAGGCCAAAAATCTTCATCACAACAAATAGGAACCAATATTGTTTTATTATCTTAAGATGTCATTTCGGAGACTTTTAAGATTTTAAATTTCCCTTTTAATTGTTCATCATTTTGGATTTATTATAAACTATATTCTAAAAAATCCAATTCTAAATCACATATATAAATGGTTTTAGGTGATAAATCTAGTATTATTAAAATTATAGACTGTTAGGTAAATTTTATAAAAATTGTGCAGCTCCTTGTCCAAAGTAGGCAATATTGCCATCATACTATTTTCGAATAGAAGATAAATTGTCAGCCAAAGTAATGCTTGATTGTTTTAGAAATATATTTTCAATTTTTGTTCTTAAAGCATATTATCTATTGATAATATGTTTCTCTCTATCAAATATTTGTTTTGTTTTTTATGAAGTTTATTTACTAAAATACCTTGAAATTTTGTATAGCATCTATATTAAAAATAAAAATAAATATTGTCATTTTAATTTTTTTTATGGTCAAGTATGTATCACTTGTTTACTAATTTGATTTGGATATATATTAATATGATAATAAAATAAGTAAATTTCAAAATTGACCATGATTTTAGAAGAATAATAAATGCATTCATATAGATATTTAATACTTTATTTTAGTCAAACAATATTGTATTTTTGTAGTAATAGATTCATTGAGCTATTTTAAATATCCTCATTTTTCAAGTTCTTCTATAATTTCTGCCACTAAACTGACTAATGTTGTTTACTTAATTTAATATGCTTTGACTAGAATTCTGATTAAAATTGCAAAATCATTTTCATCAAATATCCTATTTTCAATGGCCAACTCTTTTATCCACCTTTTAAGCGGATATTGAGGACCGTGTAAACTATTAATTAAATTAATCCAACTAATTTAAGTTTTGGTATTCTACGGTATAAATTTTTCGATATCTATTTTTGGAGGAGGCATTATTTTTCCATTTTACAGTTTATCTTATGTAGATTTTGATTTTATCATAGTTAGTTTATTAAAGATTGAATTTGAATTTAGACTTTAAGGAGAAGGCAATCTTCTGAAAAAATAAGAAGGCTCTTTATTACTTCTATCTGTTAAACATTACTTAATGTTTTACAATTTTTTTCTATGAATCACCATGTTGAAATCATTTATTCTTGTAGAAATGGGAAGTTTTGAATTTTCATTCTTCTTTAGAAATGAACATTTAATCTCTGTATTTAAATGCCTTTCTTTAATCTATTAAAGGCATAATCTATGACCCCACAATTGGGATAATATTAATTATCGCCCTCCCACATTTCGAGTGTCGGGAGTGAATTGCATACGTTAATAAATATTATAAATTAATATTACAATATTTATAATTTTTGTTCGATTCTTCAAATTAGTCTAGATCCATTATTCCATTCTTACTCTTCATCCTGCCCTCCTTTTTATTTTCTAATTCCTTTTCCGTGTTATTTATCATTTTTCCATGGTCCAAAATAACTTGTTCCATCATTATAAAAGAATGTCCCATCCCCATTTCTAAGATCATTTTGAAATTAACCTAAAATAATATTCAGTTTTATTCTACCTTTGTAATATCTTCCATCAGGGTAAAATAATTCCCCTTGACCATTCATCATACTATTTTTCCAATTACCATTATATTTCCTCTTATCAGCCCATACAAAGGTTCCATATCCTAAAATTAATGAATAAAAATTGATACCTTCCATTTAATCATTTACTATACTGCCTTCATAAATCGATCCATCTGTCCATTAAAATCGGCCTGTTCCATATTTAACTCCATTATCATAACTTCCTTCATACTTTGTTCCATCAGGCCATGTTTCTTTGCCAAAACCATTTTGCCTATTATTTTTGAACTCACCTTCATATTTTGTACCATCAGCATATTTATATGTCCCATTGCCTTCTATTTAGCCATACTTAAAATCCCCTTACTATTTACTAAATAGCATTCTATACATAATAATCTCCTGATGCCATAATTAATCTTCCATGAAGATGTTAATAGTCTTATAAAAAGTAGCCTTCATAAATAGAACCATCAGGATAAATCAATTTTCCTCTGCCTTCCCTCAATCCATTCATCCATTATCCCTCATAAATTGAACCATCTTCTAATAGCTGAAATAAACTAAATTTTTACATAAGGAGTTAAAGATCATGATTTTAAGAATTATTCATCATAAATTGTATTGTAATTATATTCTCCATGTAAAAGTAATTTGTCTTTTATGAAATCATTGCAGGATTCTACAGTTCCATTATAAGGCTTAATATTATCATTTTTTGGTTTTGTATTTTCCAATTACTCTTTTTCTTGCCCAGCCTACATATTGGTATTGGATCTTACTTCCTTTCTTGCTTTCATTCCTCTAAATCCTGATTAAATTTTAATAACATTCTATTCATCATAAGATGATAATGGTTATGCTTCTGCTTAAACTTCTTGCGGCTTATCCTTTTCCTGAAGTTAACCTTCTTCTAAGCATACACTTCCTCGTTTATCAATTTCAGTTGAGACTGGATGTTGAGATATGCAAGGACCCATTTTATTAGTAAATTATAAATTCAATGAAAAGAACCAAATATTTCACCTGTTATAATTAAATTATTTCATTTATACAACTTGAACCATCATTGGATTTATTTAATTTACTCATCCATTATATAAAAGATTGAAATTTAAATGAAAAGTAATTTATTAGCCATTCTTAAAAGAAAAACCGCCTACAAATAGTAATAGAGATTATATACTAATGCTTTTGAAAAAGATAAAAATTGTAAATTTTTCTGGATCATTTCCAACTTTACAATTAAGGAAGCAAGATAATTGTATTTGACTCTAATTTCTACATTTATTTATTTAATGACTTGAAATCTTATAATAAATGATATTCTATTCATAAATTATTAGTTTGACCAATTCAATTATTATTTTTTAAATTAAAATCAGACTTTATAAAGTCATTAATTATTTCCTCTACTTTTAGTTTGTTTGATATTTCCATAACTAATTGTTCATACATAATACTCAAAATTAAATCAGATTTTGTAAAATTAATACAAAGAATATATTGTATTCCAAAATAAATAGTATGGAGACCAACTTCTATTATCTATTTCTTGGGGATTATAATTGTAAAATTAAACGAAAAAGAATTAGAATAATTAAAATTTTCAATTAAGAACAAAAAGAGAAAATCTATAGATAATGAAATTAATTAAATAATCATAAAACTCTTGAAATTATTATAATATATTAAATTTATTGCATTTCATACTATGTAGCCATATTATTTTACAGCTGACAAGCAAATAGACTTTCAATTAGACCCAGAAATGCAAATTAATCTGATTCAATTAATGTAGCAAGAAATTTTACCTTGTTCTAACTACAATTAACTTGCATATTTTACTTAGATCTCTTATCCTCTTCCTATCTCTGCTTACCAAAAAAAACAAAGATCTAGTATCCTATTTTTGATGATTTAAAGAAATACTGATTCTAAAGGAAGATTACTAAAATCTAGATAGTCAGAAAATAACTTATTGATCATCCTGCTTAAACACAATTTCAGAATGAATAACTGTACTTTATTATTAAATTATTTGCTGAGATAAATAATGAACTGTTCCTTAATAAATTTATCATTGTTCTTAAGGGACCCCTTTACCTCAACTTTAGTCTGATATTATTTCAAACTATGATGCTCTAGGATCATAGGAAGGGTCTAAACAAACTTAAAAATCAAAAGGATTGTATTAATAAGTAAAGTAGCCAAAAAAAGAACATATGAAAACTGGACATTGGTCACTTTAAGAACATACAACTTAAATAATATTTCTTTAATAGTTTGAAGGTAAAATGACTTCATCTATGATGAAAAAAACTTCAAAAATATTCAAATAATTAAGAGAATTAATTGTGCCAAAATCATTTAGAAACATTAATAATCATTATGATTAAGAATAATTGATAATGATGTAAGAAAATAGCATCAGCATGGGTTTTATCCATCGGCTATATAATATGAATAATGGAATCAATATTATGACATGAATTAAAATATCAAAAAAAAAGAAGAAGAATAAGATCTTGAACTTCGGTAATAGGTATAATAATAATACAAGCACCAATAAGATTATGAAGATTTTTGAGAATAAACTTCTAAAGAAAATAAATGAATTAGAGTTAAATTGATGGCCGTAATTCAATTGTAAATGACCTTTGAAATAAATATGAACAAAAAATTGTCTAGAATCCATTTAATAATTTGTAAAAATGAATATTTTTTTTTAATTTAAGAAGATTTGAATAAAAAAAGAATGGTTAGTAACTTCAAAATACAGGAAACTAAGTCATTATAATATTTTCATTTCAAATTTGAATCATTTTAGAAAATAAAATTGTTAAATTAAAACTAATAGTATTTTCCATTAAATTTTTATTTAATAATTATTATTAACCTAATTCTTAAACTTTACATCAAGTTTAGTATAAATATCTAAATTTGTAAGACTGTATTAAATTTTGATAGATGAATTTTTATCTCCTCAAATATACATCCTTTATGTATTCATATTCTTTATATTTGATTCTATTTACACTAGTTATTGAATATACAATTTGTAGAAAAGTAGTTTAAATTAATAATTTATTTTCATTTTGAGTATAGGATATCAGGGATCGTTATAATAAACTTAACATATTCACAAGAAATCAAAATTTCCATAAAGTTAGAAAAAATTACAACTTCTTCAAAATTTTCACATAAAAAATGTATAAATACGGTTATAAATTCCTCTCTCTATTGGGATTATTAAATCGTGATGAATGCTATAAGTTTCATGCCACTATGTAATTTTATATGACTTAAATATAAATTGATATATGATATATATAGGTTTCATTTTAATTTTGCTAATCTTTGTTCAACAATTCTATCAAGTCTCAGTTATTACTTAAGTAATTCAATATCTTTTTTATAGTTAGTTTGATATGTTGTTGAATCATCCTAATGTCGTTATTCTATAGTGATTTTATCATCATTAATGGAAATTTAATGTCTAGATATAGTATTAATAAAATTACTATTCTGAATTTTCATCATCATTTTCTTCTTCTTAATTGTGATCAATTTATGATTTCTAGCTTTCGCTTCTTAAATCTAATTCAACCTATTGTACATTTTCTGTAAATATCACTCCATCAGGATTTCTTCTAATCCATGGCGCCTCCGGTTTGTTGTCCACGTCTGTAGACTATACTATTGTAATCGAATAATTAGAATTACTTGAATTCCTTCAATTAATTTATTATCAAATTCTGGATTCATAGATGGAGGAGTTATTCTAGGCAAACAAAAGGAAAGTCTGGTTTCTAAATTCCCAATTTTAAAAGTTGGGAAAATGCAGCATAATCTATTTGAATAGGGAAAAATGGTTGCACTTTTAGGTTAAGTTGAGTCTAATGCTGCAAGAAAATCTCGAATTGTAGTTTCAAATGATTCTTAAAGTTGATCGGCTAATTAATTCAATAACTCTTTGCCTTTTCTTTTTTATTTATTCTTAGATAAAATATATATATTACTAATATTGTAGCAATAGCAACATTGTAATAGTATTCATACATATTATATGTTCTATCCTCAAATTCCAACTCATCTAATTCACTAATTAATCTCTCTTATTGTTCTTACTATGAAATTAAAGAATTATTAGACTATTGACTAAATTCTTTTATTTATTATTTTAACCCATATGATTTTGTCCATAAATCCATAGCTTTTTTATAGTTACCTAAGTAAAATTTCATTATTCCTCTATAAAATATTAGATCCGATGTTAAAAATACATGGCCATCTGAACCTAAAACAATCAACTTCTTAAGCATCTAAGATGCTAATCTGAAATTGACTTATTTATTTGATCCTTGTGATAATTTCAGAATCATCATCGATTAGGATTCTTCTGGACCTACAGTTGATGTTTTCAAGGCTAACAAGCATTCTTTATCAATATAGCTTTTTTTATCTCCGGTCAATTCTATTATTCGATTTAAATCTGACATTGCGTAATTTAATTCTTTTTAAATTATATAACATAGAGCTCTGTACCTTAGTAATTAAACATTATTTTGAATATCTGGAGAATGAGAATATGTTTTTATAGCATGCTCGTAAGCTCCGATTAAAAATAATAAATTTCCTGCCCACAAATGAATATCAGGATCTTTAGGCTTAAGAGAAATGTAAGTTTGTAAATCATTAAATGCAGCAGTTCTATCTCCTAACAATGTAAATACTTTGGCTCTATTTAAATACGCTTCAGCAAATTTTGAGTCCCAATTGATAACAATAGTGAAATCATTTAGAGCTTATTGAGGATTGTCCAAACAGGCCCTTACTAATCCTCTTGCATAAACATATTTAGCCACTCGATCTTCATTTTTTTCAACTGCTTTTGTTAAATCAGATAAAGCCAAATCTATTTATCCAAAATAAAATCTTAAAATTCCTCTATGATAAAGAAGGTTTGAATTCTAATCGTTTAGAGTTACTGCTTTATCTAAATGTTTTAACGCATTCTTTATATATTTATCCTTGTCTTTTGGCATATGTTTGTTGATAAATTATATAAGTGTTAAGGACTTATAAAAGTGTGGCTCCATTTTACCAGGAAACAACTTTGAGGCTTTTTGAAATTATGATTATGCTTTTTCAAATTGGCTTGATTAAGACATTACAATTCCTTCACAAATGATCTTATTATATAATGAAGGCTGATCTAATTCTTAAAAATTTTGAACATAAATCAAGTCGTTTAATGCCTTTTAGAATTTATTTAAACAAATAAAACCTAAAATATTGAATAACATTACCATAAGCTCTATAAAGAAAAATAATCTTTTTGATGAACTCTCCCAATTAATAATTATTAATTAATTATGTAAATACATTGACACCATCTTAATATTTTCTTTTCATTAAAAATATCACTCCTTCTGTAAACTATCTTAATTTCATAATTGATTCTTTATCTACCTCTAAATGATCTTCTCTTTACAAAGTATAATACGCAGAATAGAAATCTTTTTGATCAATTTTAATTTTGGCTATTTCTTACAAAGATTTTGTGACAGCTTTTCTGCTATTATTTTATTTAATTGATTATTCAAAGCTCAAAATAGCTTCATTTAATTATCCTTTATTGATATAAATTTAGCCTTTCATGAAGAGTGCCTCTGAACTATTTGGGTCATTAATTAAAATTAAATTGATAGCTTCCATTGCCCTATCTAAGGACTATAACTCAATATAACAATATATTTTTCTCATTAAAATTATTTCATTCTCTGGAATAGTTTCATAAACATTCAATGCCTCAGCAATTTTACCACTCAATCTTAAGCAATCTGCTCTTCCTAAAGTACCTTAAAATGATATTTAATCATTTTCTAAAACACTTGCCTAATTGAAATCTTGTAAAGCTAATTAGTATTTTTTTATTTTCATTAATAATTTTCCTTTATGAATTAATGCATCATAATAAGTTGGTTATAATTTTGAATATTTTTTAGATAAAAATTCTTTTAATACAACTATTGCATCACTGTAGTTCCCAATTTTTTTTAAACATAATGCTTATAAAATGACAGTATTTCCATTTAAATCCCCTGATTGTTTTGCTCTTGAAAACTAATTAATTGCTTAATCATATTGCCGACAATTCATATGAATTAAACCTTTAAAGTAAGCAATTTCCTTTATGTATTCTGGATTTATATGAGGTTAATCAATTTCCTCTAAATCTTTTAAAGCCTCTGAAAATTTCTATGCCTTTATTAGCTTTTCACAATTTAATATTCTTTTCGCAGGAGACTATGAGAAATATTGATGAACATGGTGTTCGCTTGTTGTGCTATTAGGATGTAATTTACTAAATTTAATATTTATTGGTTATACTTCTGTAATGATGATTTTCTTGTTGATAACTAAATCGTCTTTAGGTTTTTTGTATTAAAAGAACTATTTAACGAGGCCTTATGATTTGTCATAGACTTATTTTTCTTATTATTGACGATACTTCCGGATTTTCTTTTTGAATCATCATTTCTAGATTGAACATTCCTGTGATCAACATCTTCAGTTTTCAAATAACGATTTTAACTTCTTCTTATAGTTTATTGCTGTCTGCCTTCCCACATTGATGGTGTGAAACATTTTCTTCTTGGAGATAAACTACTTCTAACAAGCATAATTTTTGTTAGTTATTTAACTTATAATATATATAAAATTTGAAATCTAATTCATATTTACATTATAATTAATATTTATAATAAGAAAAGATTCTAAATTTAAATAGCAATTCATAAATCTGTGAGAAATAAATTTGGTCATTTTTGAAATAAAAATAATTTGATTAGTTAAAGCTCTAAGATATTTAACATAATGTATGATATTTAAATAAAAAAATTAGCAATTTTATTTATAACTGAATTTATATAATATTTATGCTATTAATGATAGGTAAAACAAGATTACCAATTTTTACGGGAAGCAATAATAATTTTATTTTCAAATAATAATTTATCATAGTATCT